ACTATGTGGTGAAATATGATCAAAACATTGACGTTTACTCAGGCCAGGAATCAAAGTGGAAGAAAAGCAATGTTTTGGGGAAACACGGTAGAAGATACCCTTTTCCAGTAAGTGTCTAAGAGTCACAGGCCTGGGAAACACAGCTGCTAGAGAGGGGCTTTTCAAGAAAATCTTGGGTATTTTATGAAGTTTGGGGGTGGGACACACTGTTGGGCTATTAGACCATCTCAAGTAAGTGTGAAGGTCAGGGTATAGACTGTAGGTAAGTGTCAGTGACACCAGAGAAGAACAAAACCAAAATTCTGCTTTCTTTTCATCTCTTCTGTTGGTTTTGTTTTTCACTGTCCTCTGGATTAATGGTCAAGATGACAGTCACCATGGCTGATACCAGCCGTGTGGACCTAAATTATAAAATGTACTACTCTCAGGGAACATAACTTGTTAGAACTGCTCTGGTGATCACACATGGTTCTGGGATGCTGCTTACATTTGGAAATATTTATGACTACAAGGACAGGGATACGGTATTCCGATGTGTCTGATTGACCTTTTGGAACTTTGGATAAACTAGGGCACATGAGAGTCTTGGGATTGGAAGAAGCCATGTTTAAAGATGGTGAAGTTGCTGCTTCAGACCGATCTCTGGTCTTTTTTTATACCATCACTCATCTTTCCAGGGTGAAAAGTAATCGTGACATTTGATGTTGCCCCTGTAACTGGCATCACTAGCCAGACCACGAAGTCAGCAGAGCTTTTGCATTGTACTAATCAGTGATGTGGGCCCTTTTATAATCTTGTAGTAATTAATCAACCAGCTCTCATAAAGGCAGAAGCAGGAACTGTGCTGATGAATTATTCTGAGAACTCAGACTCATGCACTATAACTGACTCATGTAGTCAACAGAAGAATTTTTTTGGTCTCAACTTAAAATAGAGAATAAAGCAGTCTTTTCATCCACACTCAACTATAGTGCTGCTAAGGAAAGATAATCCTTATTCTTAAGAAAAGTCATAAGCAATCCATCTGCAGAAAGCATAATAGGGCATCAATAGAAATATATACCATTCTATAAGCCTTAGAGATCTTATTAAATAACTATCATATTAGTTGTTCTGCAAAAGCCACACATCTTTTAAAGTGTAATCAAATAAAATTATTTCTCCAAATAACATTAATTTAGAGGAATTACAAAGAATTATTATTTCACCAAAAAAAGATCTAGAAGGGCTCAACTTATTTTATAAATATCTTCATGATATAGTACATGTTAAAAAGTCACATTAATGTTAAGTGGGCATTCAAAACTAATAAATTGCACAGCTGGTGTGGCTCAGTGGTTGAGTTCTGACCTATGAACCAGGAGGTCACAGTTCAATTCCCAGTCGGGTTGTGGGCTCATCCCCAGTGTGAGTCTTGCAGGAGGCAGCTGATCAATGATTCTTTCCCATCATTGATGTTTCTATTTCCTTTAAAATTAGCTGCCTCCTGCACACCCCCTACTGGGGATGTGCCCGCAACCAAGGTACATGCCCTTGACTGGAATTGAACAGAGGACCCTTCAGTCCGCAGGCCGATGCTCCATCCATTGAGCCAAACCGGTTATAGCTGATGTTTCTATTTCTATCTCCCTCTCCCTTTCTCTCTCTGAAATCAATAAAGATATATTTGTAAAAATACAAACAAAAAAAATCTCATTAGAGCTAAACTGTTTCAAGAAAACTATTTTTCAAAGATTCTAAATATTCAGTGCCGATTTCATTCCTCAAGCCCTTAATTTCAGATCTAGGCTTAGTGTTGATACTCCATCAGCTTCGCTCTCTCAAAATAGATAGGAAATCAAGAAGCCTTCTTCAAGACCACCTGACATTAAACCTGTTGGCATATGGAAAGGTAAAATGCCCTTGCTAATCTTCACATCAGAGGTAAGAATGATCACTTCAAGTAATAGCTTAGGGACTTTCTTATAAGAGAGCTAATGAGAAAAAATGCAGTATATTTAATTTTAAACTTTCAATAGGCATAACTAGTATGCAGAAAACAGCCATTTAAAGGGGGAGAAGCAATTTTTAAAGTTGCATTTCTTAGAATCACATCAAGTCTCAAGATTTGATGAGTATCTTCTTAAGACCCACAGGTCTTCTTTAGTTATTTTAAAGAGGCTCAATACAATGTTTACAAGGACTGTGTGTGCATGAGCATGTGTGTGTACAGGTATTCAATACTCAACTCATTGGGGAATGAGGGAGGGAAAAAAGTGGGGGCGGGGGACAAAAGGAAAGGAAAATGAAAAAGAAGGAAAGAAATAATGAAAGGAACTGTAGTTTATCCTTCACTGAGTTAAATTAGGCAAATTAAGGAAAGTTGAAAGAGAATGTATATGAACAAAATAATCAAAGGATGATAATAGTTTCTGCCTTTGCAGAGACAGATTTGCATAAACATAAGAATTTATTATATTTACCAAGAAAGAACATTTATAGAACCACATGAAGGAAATGAGTCAGTGAGTACAGAGGGAATATAAGGAGAGGAATACAGGAGTGAACCATCTTAAATCCCGGTAATGATGAAGCAGGCCATTCCACTACTGATGGGGCCTTGGGAACAGTATCCACATTTTGTCAGGGCAGCTAGCCATATTTGAGAATGATTTATCATGTATCCTGGGAAATTACTGTGAAGCAAAGGCCAAAATAGTTAATGTGGCGACAGACCGAGTTTCCCAAATAGCAGCATGGACATGGCGTTCACTAATCGATCACAGAATGTGGGGGTTTTCATGAAGATAATTATCCAACTTGAATGGCTAGTCTTTATTATGAGATTGAGACCTTTAAAGTTTTGGTTTAATGATAGAAAGAGTAAAATACTTTGATTTGTCCGTTCCCACAGGGAAAGCTGTGGGTTATATTCTGAGGTTGTCCGTACTTGATGAGATCAAAAGCAGGCAACCCTGTGTGCATCTTCATAGTATTTTTAAATTTTATGTATCCTTAGATTTCCAAGTCCTAGGGCCACTGATGGACACACAGTTTCACAGTCTAAGCATACAGTGACTCAGTTACCTGGAGGGCTACTATGAAAGCTCTGAGTTTAGAGCGATGGATGGAAGGATGGATGAATGATAGATCGATTGATTTAAGATAGATGGATAGATAGGTTCAAGAGACTGCTGTGATTTATAAATAACTTGGCAGCCTGGTCTTTCTAACTAAATCTTGTGCTTTAAACTAGGGCAGGGAAGCCAAGTGGAAGTGGGTTGGGAAATACAAATCCTACACTGGGAAGACACTGGGAAGCACTATTTTAAAGATTGCCACTTATGACTCAATGGAAAGCGTATAATTTTCTTTCAGCTGCATTATGTTTAGTATTGTAGTAATATAAAAATTGTGGGATGTAGTATTCTCAGAATAGAGCACTGAAGTTATAACTCTATAAATTATTAGTACTGACCTTTGAAATTAAATGTACCCCTTTGTTCCTTTTCCTCTTGGAAGAAACAAGAATAACTTCCCATTTGTTTGCTATCAATGATGGTAAACCTAAAGATAATTTAAGTTATTAATATGAGCGTAGTTCTCTAAATACTTTCAATGAAAATGAAAAGACTTAGCCATTAAGCAAAATTTTAAAAAAGAAAAAAAATTTGTAATAACATTCAGGTGAAAACAATGGGAAAAAAAATGCCAGTCACAAAAACATTTAGAATTTAACTAGTAATTTTATTTAACCAACCAGCTTAAAACTTAGTGTACTCACATGTATTGGGTATACAGAATGCTTCCTGTTGCATTGATGAGATAATTATTCTCAATAAGTTCATCATCTTTTCTCCAAGTCACGTTTACTGAATTCAGATCCCCAGATGTTGTGTACTGGCACGTGAGTTCTACATTAGAAGGTCTTTGCAAAGTGATATTTTTTTCTACTGCAACATTGGAATATTCTATTAGCCACAAAAGAAAACAAAACCAAATGATATTATAAAAGCTACATAGAGGGGAAATCCAATATAAAAAACAGTTTAAATCAACAGTAGTGCTCTACTAAGACCATTTCCTCATCTGACATTCCTTTCAGAATTATTTCTCTGTTAACACCTAAGTGGTTCCCTTTGTTATTCTCTTTCATAGGCACTGTTGAGGAAAAGCTCTGTTAAAACATTAACATAATTGCAAAAGCCTTAGGCTGTGATCTTCTTTTTAAAAAATATATTCCTTTATTGATTTCAGAGAGGAAGGGAGAAGGAGAGAAATAGAAATATCAATGATGAGAGAGAATCATTGATCGGCTGCCTCCTGAACATCCCCTACTGGGGATTGAGTCCACAACCCAGGCATGTGCCCTTGGCTGGAATCGAATCTGGGACCCTTCAGTCACAGGCTGACGCACTATCCACTGAGCCAAGTCGGCTAGGGATAGGCTGTGATCTTAATCTCCTTAACATCTGTAGCTGTGAAGGGTAGAGGAGGAAGCAACCTGTGAGTGGTGTCTTGTTTCATATACTTTCAGGTGCTTCTACAGTTTGCTTGCTTTCCTATCAGCAAAGCAGAAGCATAAAACACGTAGAAAGAGTTTTACCTCTAAGTCTAAAATGCTTTGTGGTTAGCCACCACACTAATATGTCCATTGAACTTGGCGCACAATGTATAAGCTTCCCCAGAACTCCACAACTGCAGTAACATGGTTCTGCTTTTTTAGAGTGTTACAAAAGCAGCCATGGCATGTACATTTCCAGGACTTTACCCATTTGCTCAGTATCTGAACTATATTTTTTAAAAGGCTGTTCTTAAAATCATAGTAATTTACATCTGCCTAAATAGTCTTATTTTTATCATTAAAAATTTTAAAGTGTATGGACCTTTAAGCAAATTGTGATCTTTGAAAAAATGACAAGTTAGACCTTAAGGGGTCCAACTGGGTATCATTTCACTTGAAATAAAAGTCTACTTTGACCTATTACAAAAGAGTAAAAAATTTAGAAAGCCTCTTAAAATTTATTACATAGGACATGGTTTAAATCAGGAACTCTTATTAAAAATAGTTAAGTGCACTACAACATGTAAAACTCAATAGCAGCCCTAGATAGTTTGGCTCTGTGAGTAGAGCATCAGACTGCGGACCTAAGGGTTCTGGGTCTGATTCCAGTCAAGGGCACATACCTCGGTTGCAGGCTCCTACCTGGATTGGGCCCTGGTCAGGGCTAGTGCAGGAGGCAACCAATCAATGTGCTTTTCTCATTGATATTTTCTCTGTGTTTCTGTCTTTCTTCCACTATCTCTAAAAATCAATGGAAAAATATCCTCGAGTGAGGATTAAAAAAAATAAATAAATAAATAAATAAAACTCAATAATAGCAATAAAACATCTCGATTTTAAAATGAGCAAATAACCTGAATAGACATTCCTCAAAAAAGAATTACAAATGGCCAATAAATATATGACGGGGTCCTCAACATCACTGGTCATCAGGGACATGCAAGTCAAAACCACAGTGGAGACATCACACCTGATAGGATGGCTATTATAAAAAAGATACAAGATAACAAGCATTGGTGAGGATGTGAAGGAAAGGGAACACTTGTACACTATTGGTGGGAATGTCACTTGGTGCAGCCATTTGGAAAACAGTATGGAGATTCCTCCAAAAATAAAAAATAGAACTTCCATATTATCCAGCAATCCCATTTCTGGGCACCTAGCTAAAGGGGATGAAATCAGATCTCAATGAGATATCTGCATTGTCATGCTTGCTGCTGTGTAGTCACAATAGCCAACATAGTAAAACAACCCACGTGTTCATCAATAGAATGAACAAAGAAGTTGTGGTATATATAAAGTAGAATATTATTCAGCTATGACAAAGAAGGAAATCCTGCCTTTTACAATAACATGGATGAAACTGGAAGACATTATGCTAAGTGAAATAAGCCAGACAAAGATAAACACTGTATGATTTCACTTACTTGTAAAATCTGAAAAAAAAAAAAAAGTTCAACTTCTAGAAGCAAAGAGTAGAAAGTTGGTTACCAGGGACAATGGGAGCAGGGAGAAATGAGATGTTGGTCAAATGTACAAAGTTGCAATTATGTAGTATGAATTAAGATTTGAGAGCTAATGTACAGGCATGAAGACTATATTCATTAATATACTTGATAATATTTTACTGAACACTGGAAATATGTTAAGAGTAGATTTCAGGTTCATTCATCACACACAAAAATAACTGAGAAGATGATATGTTAATTAGCTTGACTATGGTATCATCTCACTATCCTATATAATAAAAGGCTAATATGCAAATCGACTGAAAAGTGGAATGACTGGTCACTATGACATGCACTGACCACCAGGGGGCAGATGCTCAATGCAGGAGCTGCTCCCTGGTGGTCAGTGTGCTCCAACAAGAGGAGCACTGCTCAGCCAGAAGTGGGGCTCAAGGCTGGCGAGCGCAGTGGTGGTGACAGGAGCCTCTCCCACCTCCATGGCAGTGCTAAGCATGTCCAACGAACCCCTCCCCCTGCCCCCAAAGTACATGATTTCATGCACTGGACCTCTACTATATATATAAAATCATCATGTTAAACATGTACACTTTAAATACAATTAAAAAAATATTTAAAAAAATAATATATCTCAAATGCAAATCTAAAGCACAGGTAGGAATACAACACAATATCATAAAAACATTAATTATTCCCAAATTAATCTACAGATTCAGTGAAAGAGGATGATTGTAAAAGATACAAGATAACAAGCATTGGTGAGGATGTGAAGGAAAGGGAACACTTGTACACTATTGGTGGGAATGTCACTTGGTGCATCCATTTGGAAAACAGTATGGAGATTCTGTTAAACAGTATGGAGATTCAAATAAAAACAAATCCGGACTTAAATAAGGGAAAGCTAGATTCAAAAAGTCTATTGCACTATGGCATGCTCCCGACTTGCAGTTGGATCTGCAAGCATCTCAGAATCAAAACAAATAGGCCTTTCCCTTTCACAGGGAGGGAAAGCCCGCTGGCAGGAGCTTTTGAGAGGACATTGGACAAACTAGTGGGGGAAGCACACAGCATGACTTGGCTGTCATGCACTTAGTGATTGCTCAGACTTGGGCAAGCCCAAGTTCAGGGGCCTATGAGGAAGAGAAAACTGCCTGACTCAAGTTCATCAGGCCAACGTGACGGTAAGCAAGCAATGTACTGCGAATACTTGATGCCTTCGTAACAGTTGGGATACTGGTTTTAATAGCAGTTGCCAAATGAAAGAGTAGTTAGGAGTTAAGCCCCCCGGACAGGTTAACTAAGTAAATACCCAGCCCAGCATCAACTAAAAAGTCAATATTTGCTCTCGCCCCAAGCACCTTCCTTCCCCAGGCGCCTGCTGGACTGGAAGCTGCAGGGTGTGATGCTGCCAACATCCTCGGGCTGGTCAAAGGATTGGCAAACGTATTATTCACATGAATTCCCTTAAACATTTCATCCCAACGGGGAAACTCACCAGTAGAACATGCAAACAGTAAAAAAGCAAGTAAGAATACATCCTAAATATTGGAATGGGGATATTTAGGGGCAACCAG